GCTGCCTTTCTTCCTGCTTCTCCCCTGCAGCTGAAATAGCCTAGGAAGAAAGCTTTCTCCAGTGAGCGGGCTGAGGAGGAGCAGACAGCTGACTGACCCCCGCCAGCGTTGCTAGGTACAGGGGAGCCTGATCCTGGTCTTTTACGAAAGTGCTGTTGATGTTGCCTGTAGTGTGGCCTGGAGCCACACGATTCCATTTTAGAAATAAAGGAAATAAAGGACTGGCTTTGGCAGAGTCTGTGGGTCTGCTACAAAGGCAGCACGTTGCATATGGGTCTGTTTCCGTGGCAAATGTCGGTTAAAAAGGAGGGGATCTCCTTTGGAGTGGAGACCAGTGTGTCCCTGAGGCATAGCCGCTCAGTGGAGCTGGCCCTGTGAGGATTCCACTTGTCTGGCAGAACTTGGCAGGAGAACTCGGGTTCATAGGTTGCTAAGGAGGGTGAACGCGGAGCAGAAACAGGAAAGCGTTAAGAGGATGTGGACTTATAGGCTAGCCGGGGAGAGCACGGTGCTGCCCCTCTGGGAAGGGCTACATGGACAAGTGGTCAAAGGAAAGGAGTGCTCGCTAATGGTACACTCCCTCAAGAGTTGCGAAGGTGAGCAGCAGGGAAGGTTGTGTAAACAAGTGAACGTCATGCTCCCATCAGCCTTTGCAGGCCCCCTGTCTGCTTGTACGGCTGCACTATGGCCTACCTGGTGGTGCAGCTCTGCTGTGTCCTGGCCCATAGCACGAAACAAGGTACACCTGGCCAAACCACAAACAAGGTACACCTGGCCAAACCACGCGGTCCGCAGCGTGGGTTTCCATGTTTCAGGCTCCTCTTCAGGTTCTCTCCTGCTTTAGTCCCCTCCTGTCTCCATCCCCTACCTCTACCCCTGTCGAATACCACAGGAATCTGCCAACTCTGGGTTAGAACTATCAATTTGTGATTATGCTTGGAAATAGTCACTCCAGGCATTTGCATCTTAATGATTGCTTGGAAGGTTTTCTTACTGTATTGAAAGAACTGTCAAATTTCATAAGAAGGTGGACAGAAAATTTTCTATGCAAAGAGGCCAGACAAGATATTCATGGCTAGCGCTGAAGGCAGAGAAAGGCAGGTTTTATTTGTGGAAGATGACCTGGAATCTTCACAGGGTCCCCAGGCCTGCCTCAAGGCTGTGCCAAATTTCTACACACACGGGAAAAGCCTGGGTATTTTCTATCTGGTTTCTCTTAGGACCTAGAGTGGATGAGTCTCTTTGTTCCATATCATGTCCCTTTTGCTTGTAGATCAACAATAGTACCTCTGTTGGCAAGGAAGGAAAGCCTGATTCTGTGGTTAGGACTGCAACCCTAAACCAATTCTTGTTAGTGTCACATTATAAAGATTTAACAGTTCATTTAATGTTTGCCTTCTGATTGGCAGCCAAGTTACATTGGTCTCACTTATAGATGGCTCCAGAGTTTGTGGGGTCTCTTATACAATTTGCATCAAGGTGAATTAATATAAAATTACAAATACAAGTGTTTAGGGCACCTCCCAGGGCTTGGAAGAGACCCACGCACATTGAGAGGCCACAAAGCTTACGCTTCACCGGCTTCCTGGTAAATCTGCCTGTGCGTCCTGTCCAGACCACTCTTGGAATCACAGCAGCTATAGGAAACTTTGTTTGTTGGGGAGTGGAGGGCGGGCTGGACCAATGACCATCCATCAGTAAAATAAGTCCCCTTTTCTGTCATGGGAGCTCTAACTCTATACGAGATGAAGATAAAGGGTAATCGGGGCCTTGTGTGCCACCACACTGATTGCAGTGTATTTTGAAGCACCTGCCCGTATTTGGGAGCTCTGCCCTAAAGTTGAAATTAAAATGTTTGCATTTCAGATGGCTGCTGATACAGGGAATCTGCAGGTGCAGTTTGGATATAGTTATGATATGAATAGAAATGCAAATCCAATGAATACACACATCAGGGTGCATCATGGTGCTTACTGTACACCTGAAGCTCTAGGATTAATTATAGAGTCTATGAAATGATCTAAAATGAAATATGAACGTGCGAGGTGGGTTATTTTTATGAGAGTAGGAATTGTGGCAGTGGAGGTATGACAAGTAACTCTTGATTATCTGTGATCAGATTATATGTTTCACCGTTCTATGCAAGGCAAAGTAAATTAATAAAGTAGAGGCATGGTTGAATGCACTTATAGGAAAATTAATGGCACAGTTACAATTGCTGAGAGAAATAGTGAGTTCTTTATTGGTGATTACTTGGCACTTGTAAAGTAGACAATTCACAATCTGTTTCCTCTTCCGGCAAACCACTCAGGCCTGTGTAGTCTGTAGTAAGCCTGAGCTTGGTGTGGATTGGGCTTGCACCAATCTGATTTTTAAAAGTACTGATACCTGGTCCCACCCCCAGAGATCGTGACTTGATTAGCCTGGGTACTTGCTGGGCATCAGGATTTTTTAAAGTCCCCCCAGGTGTTGTTAAAGTGGAACCAGGATGGCAAACCACTGGACTAGATGAAAGAGGTATGTTGGTTCCTTCTCTGGTTGCAGCATTCCCAATTAATTTCTTTGAAGCCCTGACCTCAGTAGACTGTTAATTTCTCCTTAAATAATAAGGAAGCTGGATAAGGCTCAGGCAGTCTTTTTCTCCTTCCCCCTCTCCACCTCCCCCCATAACCCTTTGTTATGGAGAAAAAGGCTCTGGGCTCATTTCACAATGGTGCCTTTCCCTTTCCCTGCAAGAGCCACGAGGAGATCTTTCTCTACTGTTTACTGGAGAACCTGGTGTGGTTCCTAGAGATAAAGCTCCCCAAAGTGTGGGAGCTTTCTAAGAATGTGGTCCTCAGCAGTTTCTCACTCACACTAGTCCACTTTCAGCCTCCAGCAGTTCTTCAAGATGACCATTCAAGTGTTGCTCCCAGTTTCTGGCTGTAGCAACTTCTGCTCCTGGTGAGCCGATCTCAGCTGTGTCTCTCTGCATGTACCCGTCTCTCCAGAGGGCATGGCCATTGGCCTTGCAACCTCAATTTTCTGAGGTGTCCAAGAAAAGTCATTGATTTTGAGTTTGTCCAGCTTTTTCTTGTAAACACAGATGTGTCAACTTCCGAGTTCTTTCCATGTTGGGGCTGAAACTGACAGTCTTGCTTGGTGGGATTTTTATAGTAATTCTATTGATTCTGCAGGTCGATTTGGGAAAAAATGCCCATCTTAACAGTATTCAGTCTTTCAGACTATGCCTGCAGTGTCTCTTGATTTATTTACAACTGTTCTCATTTCTGTCTGCAATGTTTTGTGTTTTTCAGCATGTAAGTCTTGCATTTGTTTGTTGCATTTATTGCTATGCTTCTGATCTCTGTTTATTAGTTTCTTTTCCTACTGTAGGTATCCTCGTTTGGGACACATTTTCTGTTGTTGTTTTTTTCAAAATATATAAAAAAGTTTTTTTTGTTATTTGATAAACAGCTAGTTGAAGTTTTGGGGGGAAAGATACATCTAATTTAGATTTTATTTTATTTTTTTAAAATATATTTTTTTAATTGGGGAATTGGGGGATGGGAACAGCATTTGGGGAATTGGGGGAAGGGGAACAGACAAGTTGCTGTCCTTTTTGTTCTTCAGAATAGTTGTGGAGGACGTTGCTTCACTGGCCCAAGTTGGCACTATCATTGCGCTCTTCCCGGGCAAGGCAGATCAGTCGCCGTCTTTTGGATGGCCGCTCATGGGGGCTGCTGGCCACTCACGCTGGCTGCTGGCTATACACTGTAGCCCATGACAACCCACTGCAGCAGGGACTGCAGCCTACGCCGTCACCGGCCACTCATGGCAGCCCAGCTCCAGGTTGAGCTGTTGTTCAGCATCTTAGCTGTAGAGGGCAGTGTCACTGGCCCTCATATGTGGGATCCGAACCGGGGTCCTCTGGCATCCCAAGCCAGCTCTTAACCAACGCACCACTTGGCTGGCCCTAATTTAGATTTTAAAATAAAAAC